GTTGGGTGCAGAAAGAAATAAGAGGAAACCATTAACTTCCTTGAGCACAACAACAATGAAGACACAAGCTACCAAACCTGTGGGATACTGCAAAAGCAGTTCTGAGAGGAAAATGTATCACTTTAGATGCCGACATTTGAAAAACAGAAAGAGAGCACATCAACAAACTCACCAGCCATCTTATGGAATTAGAAAAAGAATAATCTAAGCCTAAACCCATCAGAAGAAAAGAAATATCCAAAATTAAATCAGAGATTAATGAAATTAAAAACAAAGAATTATTCAGAAAATTAAGGAAATAAGGAGTTGTTTTTTTGAAAAAATAAATAAAATAGATAAACCTTTGGCTACACTAAGTAGAAATAGAAAAGTAAAATCTCTAGTAACCTCAATCAGAAATGACAAAGGGGAAATAACAACTGATGCCACAGATATACAAGAGATCATCTCTAAATACTACCAGAAACTATGCCCAGAAATTTGACAATGTGAAGAAAATGGATCAATATTTGGAATCACACCCTCTCCCTAGACATAGCCAGGAAGAAATAGACCTCCTGAACAGACCAATTTCAAGCACTGAGATTAAAGAAACAATAAAAAATGTTCCAACAAAAAAATGCCCTGATCCGGACAGCTTCACACCAGAATTCTATCAAAGCTTCAAGGAAGAGCTCATTCACGAACTGCAGAAATTATTCCAAATATTGAGGAGGAAGGAATCTTCCCCAACACATTCTATGAAGCAAACATCACCGTGATACCCAAACCAAGAAAAGGCCCAACTAAAAAGGAGAATTTCAGACCAATTTCACTAATGAATATAGATGCAATAATTCTCAACAAAATCCTAGCCAATAGATTACAGCTTGTCATCAAAAAAGTCATACACCATGATCAAGTAGGTTTCATCCCAGGGATGCAAGGCTGATTTAACATATGCAAGTCCATAAACATTATCCAATGTATTAACGGAAGCAAAAATGAAGACCATATGATTCTCTCAATAGATGAAGAAAAAGCATTTGATAAAATCCAGGATTTTTTTCCAATTAGAACACTGAAGCGTATAGGCATAGATGGCACATTTCTGAAACTGAAAGAAGCTATGACAAGCCCACAGCTAATATTTTACTGAATGGAGTAAAAATGAAAGCTTTTCCTCTTAAAACTGGAACCAGACAAAGTTGTCCTCTGTCACCATTACTATTCAAAATAGTGCTGGAAGTTCTAGCCAATACAATTAGGCAAGACAAGGAAATAAAGGGCATCCAAATAGAAGCAAAGGAGGTCAAACTCTCCCTCTTTGCTGATGATATGATTTTACACTTAGAGAACGCCAAGACTCCTGGAAATCATCAAAAAATACAGTAATGACTCAGGATATAAAATAAATGCCCACAAGTCAGTTGCCTTTGTATACACCAATAACAGTCAAGATGAGAGGCTAACGAAGGATACAACTCCCTTCACCATAGCTTCAAAGAGAATGAAATACCTAGGAATATACCTAACAAAGGAGGTGAAGGACATCTATAAAGAAAATTATGAAATCCTAAGGAAATAGCAAAGGATATTTCAAGATTTGGAAAAAACGATTCTTCATTTTGTATGGAAACAGAAAAAACCCCATATAACTAAGGCAGTTCTTAGTAATAAAAACAAATCTGGGGGCATCACCATACCAGATTTTAGGCTGCACTACAAACCCACAGTGGTCAAGACAGCATGGTACTGGCACAAAAATAGAGACATAGACATTTGGAATCAAATAGACAACCAGGAAATGAAACTAACATCTTACAACCACCTAATCTTCTATAAACCAAACAAGAACATACCTTGGGGGAAAGACTCTCTACTCAATAAATGGTGCTGGGAGAACTGGATATCCACATGTAAAAGACTGAAAATGGACCCACACCTTCCTCCACTCACAAAAATTGATTCAAGATGGATAAAGGGCTTAAATTTTAGGCATGAAACAATGAAAATTCTCAAAGAAAGCATAGGAAAAACACTGGAAGATATCAACCTGGGGAAAGACTTCATGAAGAAGACTGACATGGCAATTGCAACAACAAAAATAAACAAATGGGACTTAATTAAACTGAAAAGCTTCTGTACAGCTAAGGAGACAACAACCAAAGCAAATAGACAACCTACACAATGGGAAAGGATATTTGCATATTTTGAATCAGACAAAAGCATGATAACTGGGATCTATAGAGATCAAATTAATCCACATGAAAAAAGCCAACAATCCTATACATCAATGGGCAAGAGACATAAATAGAACCTTCTCTAAAGAAGACAAATGAATGGCTAGCAAACATATGAAAAAATTCTTATTGTCCCTAATTATTAGAGAAATGCAAATCAAAACCACCCTGAGATACCATCTAACCCCAGTGAGAATGGCCTACATCGCAAAATCTCAAAACTACAGATGCTGGCATGGATGTGAAGAAAAGGGAACACTTTTACACTACTGGTGGGATTGCAAACTAATACAACCTTTTGGAAGGAAGTATGGAGAACCCTCAAAGAACTGGAGCTAGACCTCCCATTTGAACCTGTAACCCCATTACTGTGCATCTACCCAGAAGGAAAAAAATCCTTTTATCATAAAGACACTTGCACTAGACTGTTTATTGCAACAGTTTGCAACAATTTACAATCGCCAAGATGTGGAAACAGCCTAAATGCCCACTAACCCAGGCATGGATTAACAAGCTGTGGTATATGTACACCATGGAATACTATTCAGCCATTAAAAAAATGGAGACTTTACAGCCGTTGTATTAACATGGATGGAAGTGGAACACTTTATTCTTAGTAAAGCATCACAAGAATGGAGACGCATGAATCCTATGTACTCAATTTTGATTTGAGGAAAATTAATGACATAGTGGTGGGGGGAGAAGGGGAGAACAGAGAAAGAAAGAAGGAGGGAGGGGTGGGGAAGGAAGAGCAGTGAGAGGGAAGGAGAGAGGTGGGTGGGGTCTTGGTGTGTGCCACACCTTTGGGGGGCAAGACACAATTGTAAGAGGGACTTCACCTAACAAATGCAATCAGTGTAACCTGGTTTCTTGTACCCTCAATGAATCCCCAACAATAAATTTTAAAAAATTTAAAATCCATTTAAAATTCCTTCTTGGGAAGAAGACACAAATGGAAGCTTATAAAAAGAAGATAGACAAATAGACAATAAACATAATGATAAAAAATGCTCACTAACCCTAATAATCAGGGAAATACAAATTAACACCCCCTTACTCTACCCCATTTATTACCTTACCCCAGTCAAAATGACTTTTATTTAAAAGTCCAAAAACAATAGATGCTGGCATGGATGCAGAGAGACAGAAACGCATATACACTATTGATGGCATTGCAATTACTACAACCTCTATAGAAAACAATATGGACATTCCTGAAAGAAATAATAGTGGATCTTTCCTTTGATCCAGCAATCCCATGACTGGGTATTTATCTAAAAAATAAAAAGAAGTCATTTTATCAAAAAGACACATGCACTCAAATGTTTGTTACTGCACAATCCACAATTTCAGAGATGGTGAATCAACAGAATCACCCATCAATTCATGAGTGCATGAATGTCTCTCAGTTGAATCCTAGCAAGATAGATTACAGAACATTACCTATAAAATCATAGTAAGCAAAACATTTCAGTATTGAAATGAATAAAAAATAGAATGATAGATTAGGACAGGGGTCACCTACACAGATTCACCTGGGAATTCATTCACGAGAGGATGTATATAGTACAGGGGTCCCTATCATATAAATGTGACCTTGAGACAGGAAATGGCAGGCATTGCTTTGGGTATTATTGCACCACTGCTTGAGTCAAGAAGTCTCAAAATAAAGTTTCAAATTACCCTGAACAAAACAGGATACAGGCAGGAAAAATTCCAACAAATTAGGACCAAGGTGGTGAACTACCTTCCACCCCCATGAATATCCCTCCCCTTGTTTAGCTTGTAAGATTCAGCTGTTGTTTAAATGGAACGGCAACAGGAACCAGGGGGCCTGTTCTCTTCTGCAGGGAGGACAAGCCTCTGTTCTGTCTGTGGAGTAGACTTTCTACAGTTTCTGAATAAATCTGGTTTGCACTTTATACTGTCACTAGCTCTTGAATTCACTCTTTCTTGCATGATGCCAAGAAAGAATTGCAGCCAGTTGCACTACAAGTGGTTCCCAGTTTTTTTTTTTTTTTTTCTCTCTATCTCTGTTGTACTACAGATTTTAGTCAACCTCAGCATACAATTTTCTTTCCTTATTGTCCGGAACTTTCACCTTTTCACTTAAAGGAAGCAATTTATGGCTTCTCTATGGCATATCTGAGTTGCCAGCATCACCAGTCTCCTACATTGGGGCCAATATTAAGAAAAATTCCCTGTTCTGTGAATCGCTTGCTTGTTTATGTTTTGCTAGTGTTATTCAGTTGAGGTGTTTGCCCTTTCATGGTATGACAGAGTTTGTTAAATATTCCAGTAAGTATTTAGCCAGGACAGGTGAGACACAGTATCCAGTGTTTAAAGTAAGACAAGTATTTACTCTGGAGTGTCTATGTTCTAAACTATCTTCTTGGACATGACCTCTGTGAAAGTACAAGAAAGAAGAGGGACATGAGAAGTTTTAGAAGTCATGGGGAAATAACAAATCTCTGCCTGCCTCAAAGGACCCCTGTGTTCAGACAGCCCTGGCCGGCAAAGCAGCAGCTGCAAAACCAGGAAGTCACGTGTGTTATGGGAAGCTGGACTCACACTAACAGCTGTCCTGCTGCAGTTTTAAAAACCCAATTTCCTAATTACTTACTCTTTCTTTTCATTGTATTAATACCTGTGTCCTTTAGTCCTGCAAAACAGGACTAAACTCAAGTAAAGCTTCAGACACAAATTGGACTAGAGGCATGAAGGCAGCAATATTGCCAGAGACGAGGCAGGGAGATGAGGAGGGAGATGTAGACTCACCTGATGCTCAGGTCACGGCCTCCACCTGCCATCCTCAGAGCCAGGGTCCTGATCCCGCTAGTCTGCCTGACCTGAGTCCACTGTCACTGCAGTGTCCGGGGCAGAACTTCTGCGGACAACCAACTTACCCAGAGAGCGCTCCGCCCCAATGAAAGTGAAAGTATGTACGTGACTGAGCGCTGCCTCCCAGGAGGTTTTCAGCCTTCCTGAAAGGTGGCAGAGGGACAGGAAAGCCCTTGGGCAAGGCTGGAGGACCAGGAAAGGAGGACCCCAGGATGAGCAGGGCCAGCTTCCAGGAGCCCATGTGTTTATGCCAAGGACAGCCTAAAATCCACTGGAACCCCAAATGTCCTCAGCTGCGTCTGCCTTCCTAGAAGGCCTCACAGTTTACTGGTCATGAGAGTTAG